ATCAGTGCAAAAACGATGGATAGATTAGTTAATTTAAAGTGCTTCAGCTACATTAAACAAACACAGAATCCAAAGGACATCTACGCAGCTATGAAGCCTCTGTTATACTTGTCCAAGATACTAGGACTGGCTCCATTTGCGTACAACAACAGCAAGTGTCTTAAGACAGACAACAAAATTCATATATCGACTTTCGGTACAATCCACTCATTCACGATGTTTCTTACATCATTAGTATTATTCACCATATTGTTCCAGTGGAACATCGAGAGGTTGTTTTCTAACTATAATTTCGTACTTGGAGTTATATTCATAGCTGATTCGTGTTTTTTCTCACTTTCGGTGATCATTTCTTACGCCTTCTATGTAACAATTAATAGCTGCAAAGTCATGAAATTCCTTTCGCTTGTGGCGAAAATTGATATGTGGTTGAGCAAATCAAATAACTCAAACAAAAAAATGTTTCTTTTACTATGTGTGGGGGTGACAGTGCATGTGACTTGTAGCTTTGTCTGTTACATTGCAAACTTTCGAATTCCTCCACATATCAAAAGTAATTATATTCGTTTCATATATATTTTTTTCATCTTCGTGGGTGAAGTTGTAATGCTTCAATTTATTTCTTCGATCCTGCTTTTGAAAGGCCGGTTTGAAATTTTAAACGAAGAGCTGATGTCAGCTTTCGGTTGCCCCGATGAACTCACTTTGAATAAACGAGTACGTGGTATCGAATCCAGAAAACTAAATGCTGTCACTGGATTAACAAATGATACAAACCAACAAAAACCTTCAAACAATGCCACTACTATTAATGAGCAAAATTTGAACGCACTGGACACACATTTCGATGAATCATGGCGCAAGAAGATGCAAGTTCTGCGACTGCGCGGAATTTACAATTTATTGTGCGACGCTTCTGAGCTGGTACTTTCGATCTACCAAATTCAGTTCTTAGTTACTCTGATACAAATATTCGTCGAAACTTCAGCTTGCCTTTGTGGAACTTTTAAATATGTTACTAAGCTCCTCACGTGTCAATCGAATAATCAGTCACAGTGGCAGATTCTGAGTATGATACTGATCTGGGGCACCGTTAATTTAACAAAACTTACAGCAATTACTGCTCACTGTCAAGGTGCCACACAGAAAGCGAACCACACAACAGTTTTGGTGCATAAGCTTCTGTTATTGCGCCATTTACATCCAGAAGTGAAAGCAGAACTTCAGATGTTCTCACAACAGATGCTTCACCGGAAGTTGCAATTCATCGCCTGTGGGTTTTTTCCGATTGACTGTACTCTTCTGTGCAGCATGGCTGGTGCAGTCACCACATATTTTACCATCTTACTTCAGCACAGTGGAAAATATATTGATGATTTTATTCTGCTATGCAACAGAACATTTCTTAGAGATGTTTAATCTATTTTAATTGTTGCTCTTGGCCCTTGTAATATTTCTTTAGGTTTTCTAATAATGTACCTATAGAAACTTACCGCTTTTTGCGCAGTTCAAGGAGGGGCACGCGGTAGCGTAGTTGGTTGAGGCATTATGCTACAAGCCAGAAGGTCACGGGTTAGATTCCCGATGAGGTCATTGGATTTTTTTCAATTGACCTATTCCTTCCAGCCGCACTATGGCCCTGGGATCGACTCAGCCTCTAATAAAAATTAGTACCAGAAATCTTCCTGTAGGTAAAAGGTGGCCTGCACTAAGGTTGAAAGACTTACCGCCATCTGTGAGCAGATTGTCTAGAATATGCGGGAGCCTCGACGTCTCACAACCCTATGGACCTTCAGAGCCTGTTACAGGGATAGCGTACAGTTCACGGAACGCAAAATATCACATTTGCTTAGGGATCCCTTTTAATACATTTGCTTTTTTCAACTGATTACCCATTCGTGGCGGTCGTCGGTAGTTTGCTCCTCATTTTCCCATGCCAAACAAAAAGAAGCACTTTTAGTGTACAAAGAGTTCTAGAGTTCGGATCTGTAGAATTGTTTTTCAGTGGTCACTCCTTTATTTCAACGAGGTTCCGTTGGAAGGTTGGGTCACATCTCAGATCTCTTACGGTTTAATCAGAGTATACAGACTAGATATTAAGTGTTGGTTTAGCATGAGATGTTTATTCTGCAACATTTTAAGAGAGTGGTGCATATGAAATAAAATACTTCTTTTTTCGCATGTATATATAGAACGTGTTGTGTGGTTGACTATGTCCGAGTGTTATGCAAGACAACACATAATTGATAATAATTAAGAACGGGTCCAGAAGATGGCATCAGTATACGGCAATGAGAGGCATATTTGCTTCAGTCGATATTACAGTCTCGCCCTTTGCCCCACAAATAACATAGCTTTCATATTCAGTGAAATCGTAATTCCAGAGTTGTCCTCAAGGTCTCTGATGTAGAATAGAAAAGCAGTGGAAGGGTTACCTGTGAAACCCATAGCTGCTAATTTAACTTGTTAAATTCTTTAGTTGAATATTCGAAATATAATTCACTAATATTAATATAGCCTTATATTTTCTCATTTAGCTCAGTAGGTTTTGCTTAGCTATTAGCTGTGATATATTAGGCAATGCACTAATCTTCAAGCATGTCTAAACTCAAGAGCAGCAGAATACAAACGCAAAAATAATTCTTATTAAAAATAAATGTATATTATTGTACACATAAAAACTGGCTTCTATGTTACATTGTTCTCGTGATGTCTTTTCATGGCATAAAGTTCTTTATCTGTATGTTGTAAGCTCACAATTCATAATTACCAACTTCCTAGAACCACATTTCTTAAAATTTTGATCTTTTGGAGTAGTGTGTATATAAGCACATACGTGCATGAGCGCAATTGTAAATTTGTATTATAATTAATTCGTATCATGAGATACCATATTGCAGACCTGATGAATACTTACATACCAGGAGCAAGACATGAACATGATATGGAAAGGGATTCTGATTAGTACTATTTATTTTATCCCTCAATGTTACTATGTGGACACGAATGATTTGAACCCGTATTTGTAGAAGTAATTTGTGTGTGTTATGTATGTATGTACTGATGTAATATTTGTGGTTTGGCTATATGTGACACTAGATCTTCGAATGGATTTCTCTAAAATAAACTTTGTTGAAATGCTGGGTTTGTTAATTTTTATAACACATCTTTAATTAAATATGTTTAATGTTTGTAGGAATGCATATATTATACTAGGATTTTAGAGTGATTGATAGATTATCCATTGATAGTTTTCACCATCCACACACACACAGACACACCCTATGCCATATGACGCGTTAAATTTTAACTTAGTTTCTATCTGATTTTCTACTTGCTACTTAGAAATTCACATATAGGATATTGGTGAGAAAGCCGGAAGGAAGGAGACCACTGGCAAGACCAAGGCGTAGGTGGGTGGGCAATATTAAAGTGGATCTCAGAGAGATAGGGGCTTCAATCAAACCCCATGCCCTCAAGATTCATTTAAATATTATCCGGCAATTCTCGTTTACGTCTCGCAAGTGATTTCTTCCCTTAACATATTGTGACTGAAATTTTGTATGCAATTCTCGTCCCTCGTATGGATTGGATATAGCTGGCTCCGGATATGGACCGTTGGATGGCTCTCGTGAACACAGTAATGAATCTTTGGGTTCCATAAAATGCTGGGAAGTTCTTGAGTAGCTGCACAATTGGCGGCTTCCCAAGAAGGACTCAGCTCCATGACTGAGTGAATGATTTAGAAATTAAAATATCCTTTTTTGCTATGGAAATAGAATATTCCTCGTCATCCCAAAATCGTGTCTCTAAGTATCTGATGAGAATGAGTTTTAGTTGTAACACCAACATGGCCGTCAATATTGTCCCGGTAAAAATATTTGAGGAACATAAGCTAGAATTAGAATGAAAGTTATTTGTGATTCATCATTATCACATTATCGCAGTTTTGTTGGCAGAAATGAATAGCAACAAATGTTTATAGACTTAACAGCACCTTTACATTAACATGTATCGGGATTGACCTTTCAGCACATCAATAATATACCAGCGGCTCCGTTACGGACTAGTCAAATGTTATGCTGACATTTGTTTCTCTCTGCCAGTCTGACTTTTCGGCAGTAAACTGAAGTGTATAAATGTCAACGCTCCGATCAGTACTGCAGAGACAATTTAGCGAATTTCAAATGTGACTCAATTCCTACAAAGCAAGTGCACTTCACAATTCAGTATCATCATCATCATCATCATCAGTAATCTGTCAGACGACAGGTTCACAGTCTCTTCCAAAACAATTCCTCCACTTAATGCGATCTAGAGCTTTCGCCTTCAAATGACAGTATCCTCTTCTGTCTGCAAGGTCATCCAGCATCTTCTTACGTCTTCTTCCTCGTCTTCTTGTCACTTCTATCCGCCCCTGTATCTTTCCTTCAATAACTTCTTTTAGAAGACAGTTTCTGCGTAAAAGATGACCAGTCCAATTAGCCTTTCGTTTTCTTATTTCGTGTAGGATATTCCTCTGCAATTCAGTATAACAAATTGCAATTGCACTTGGTGGCCAAGCATGCGCATTTCAAAGGGCCAGGTTTAGTTGCCTGATACGAAGCCCTAACTCAAATCATTGAAGTTCTCAAAAGTCCCGCCAAAGCGTCGATGATGTATATGCCTCAACATGGTTCAAAACTGCTTCCTCTTTGACCTCTAAAGTATCGTCACTTTTGCGGAGGTGTTTATAATGGTTAGAAAATAGACGAAAAACTGTAAGTGAATAAATGTTCAAGATTTGGTCGTCTCCTTAAAAATTGTGGTTAGCAAAATGTATTAGACTGCTTGACAGATGTCTGTGAGAAACACAAATATCTGTGCCCTGGACAAGATTCAAATAGGCTTCTACATTTTCTAATAAAAATCACCAAAATAGATGTTGCAGAACACTTGCAGTATTAAGCTGATGATGAGGTTTGAGAGCTTATAGAACAGAGTGGTGCACTAATACTTACGCCTTTTGGCCGCAGATTTCTCTGTTACGCCAGTATTTGCACTCCGTCCAGTACTGGTAGTCACTGCCAGGAACCTCTTCAACTACGCAAGCATTTGGCCTGTCAACATCGCAGAGCAAACAATACTGAAATAAGGCACAGGAAATGATTTATGGAATTAAAGTTACATACCGTATTTACGCATGTATAGGCCGCAGCACAATTTTCAGACAGAAATTATAGAAAAAATAATTTTCTTGGAATATTATTTCAGGAGTAGAACACCCTGTATTACTAATTATGAATATAATTTTTTTTAATGAAGTGTGATTTCGAATATTTCGAATATAAGTCGCACCCCAGTTTTCCTCTTGAATTTTTGGCAAAAAATGTGCGGCCTATACATGCGTAAATACGGTATTTAATTCTGAACACAAGCGTATTTTCACTCTGATTTACTAGGACAGCTTCTACTTTTGGAAATAATATAAAGTGAAGGAAACCTGGAAAAGTATACCCGAATGTGCAGTGTATAAATGCGACAGACCTTCGTTATAACAGATAAATGGGGAGACAGGCTGTCCGTTATCGTCGACGACCGCTATAAGCGAGGGAAGGGGTATCCATAGAAGTACACCATAGGATACGTAGCCAATACACGCAATAAACATAGAAACACTCAATGTGATTACATTTTTCTTTTAAATAGTTTTCTAAATGGGACTCTTTTTAGTGTATCAACATCTCTAAAAATTGACGATTGTACACAGCTCAGTTTTGTCCTTTACTTCCGAAATGCATTATATCTGTGCCCGTTATAAACACGGTTTGCCTTATAATTTGAGGTATTTCATATTTTATTCGCCTTGGTCATGATTTGCTGCAGATACAAACCCCTTCTGCGAAGCTAATCCCACTGAAGGTATCACACTGTATGATCTTCACCATATCGAATACTCTTTCGAAGGTGGAATCCTGATGAAGTCTATATTGGCCGCGCCATAGCTGAAGCGGTTAGTCGCTGGCTGGTCAAGTGGGATTTGTGGTGGACAAAGTGGCGCTGGAGCAGGTTTTCTCCGAGTACTTCGGTTTCCCCTGTCAATCTTCATTCCACCAATTCCTCCATAGTCACCCTCACCTATCATCTGGGGCTGGTACAATAGGCCAGAAGTGGCCGCAGTACAAGGGACTTAGTCCCACCCGACTAGCAATAAAAAGAAGTCTATATTCACCAGTTTTTAAAGGCAGCGGGTTGCTGAGAACATCGATATATTTAGATCTAATTTCCAGTTAATAAAAGAGTTATATTTAATCAATATGAAACAAAATTAAATTAGTGTGTGAACGTGTAGTGAAGACCCTAATGCCATGGCTTGTCAATACCTGTCAAGTAGAAGTAAAAAGTAAAGTAAAGTAAAGTTATCCCTGTAACAGGCCGTGAAGGCCCATAGGGTTGTGATATGATGAGGTTCTCACATTTTCTAGAAAATCGACTCATAGACAGCGGCAAGGTTACCACACATACGCGCCGGCCGCCCTTTAACCCCAAGAATATTCCAACAATATACCTGGTACTCATATTTGTTAAAGGCTTAGTCGACCCCAGGGCCATAGTGCGGCTGGAAGGATTAGGTCAATTGAAAAAGTCCAGTGACCTCATCGGGAATGGAACCCGCGACCTTCCGTCTTGTAGCATTGTGCCTCAACCAACTACACTACCGCGTCAAGTAGCTGCCGAAATTACACGCGTAAACGGATGTACAGGCTTACGGGGCTTCCCAGTCTTGCGTTCACTTGTGGCACACTTGCAAAGAACGCATAAGAAATTATGGTGTTCTCACTAACGGAAAAAGTTCTTTTAAATTCGGTGGGGTAAGGGTTAGTTTCTTGGAGTGGGGTGAGACTGAGTTCACTTGGTATGTAGGCCTCTAACTGGCATATTGTACCAACTCCGGATGATAGATGATGAGTGTGGAGCAGTCGCTGGAATGATAATTGGCAGGTGAAATCCGAAGTACTCGGAGATAACCTGCCCCAGTTCCACTATGTCCACCACAAATCCCACATAAATTGACCTGGACTCGAACCCGGGTCGCTGTAGTCGGAAGCCGACGACTAGCCGCCTGGGGCGAGGGGTTCTTATTTCGTATCTTTATCCAGAAACTTTCTATTCTCTTCACTGCTGATCATCTTACATTCTCATTCAACTCTACACTAGTTGTGCGCTTGGAACAGAGTCGCCAAGTTACATAAGAATCAATCCACTTAATTTCAGAGAGATGTTTAATTTCGCATAGGGAAGGGTGGAGTCAAGTTGGGTCCACTCGGCACGGCGGCTACTGATTGGCCTATTGTACATGCCCCGGGTGATTATGATGATGGAGAATTTGGTGGAATGAAGATTGGCAGGGGAAACCGAAATACTCGGAGAAAGCCTACTACAGCGCCATTTTGTCCACCGCAAATCCCACTTGACCAGAACCGGGATCGAGCCCGGGCCGCCGCGGTGGGAATCCAGCGACTAACCGCTTGAGCTATGGCGCGGCCTTCAGGGAGATGTTACTCTTCTGTCTTTGCACTGAGGGGGTAAAATGTACATTATTGAGCAATTTGGCGCTACTTCCGCCATCTAGCCGCCGAGCCGTTTACTGATAACCGCTGTGGTAAAATGTTGTGTGAATATAAACTAATTGCAGATGCATACGCGAACGCAGACATAAATGAGACATAATTATCATTTGCAGGCCATATATAAGCAGTACTGCATTAACAGTATGAAGTTTTTATTTCCATGTGTGTTAGTCCTGGAAGACTTTTTTATCTGTTTCATCATCCATTAGTGCTAGACATACCCATGAATGCAAAAGTAATGATCTTTATACATTAAACAGACCAGTAAGTTTTTTGTCTCAACTTTGCTTAATCTTTTTAGGATGCTTTCCACATCTCTTTGGCACGAACTTGTTTAGTCTCAAAGTAAGGAAGTAGAATTTCTTTTTTATTTTCTACAGGACACAAACATGGGATGGAGTGTGTGATTCAATTTTTATTATAAACAGGGGGCAACATATATTGGATAAGTTCACCAGTAAAAAAAGGTAAAAGTATTCCTGTGCTTAACTAACTAAGCACTACACCATGAAGGCGTGTAGGGGAGTGGATGTATAGATCCACATTGTCTTGACCTCGACACTAGCTGGAGGTGAGCGTTCAGCTTCACACCCCGGCCGCTTTACTCCCGGGGAAGAAACCTCGGTACCCATTGTGTAGGAGGTTGGGTGGACCCAAGAATCGGTTTGGACGAAATAGAGTAGAGAAAATTCTTGATCCTAGCTGGGCTCGAACTCCGACCTACGCTATCCCGGCTCCTTAAGTTCATTATCTAGGCAATATATTACTATGCAGATGTGTCAGTACAAAAGAATTCACTCCTACCCACTTGCTGTAATCGCTTCGATTCTTCCTGTTATGTTCGCCCTGTCCCATCAATGGGATAAGATCCACAGCCTGGCTGCCATAAGAGGAGGAATCCTCATACGCACTTTTACATGACCTGGCCTTATTATCGAAGGAAACTATGTCCTTTATTTGGTTACGCCTATACATTTCGCTCTTGTCAGATTTAAACCTTAATTGTGAGTTTTGAGTTTCTCGCGGAGATGACTACAAGAAATTTCCTTTTAAAAGAAAACATGACACCGTATATTTTGGTGAATAGATACCAACGTTTAAGAGGATCCTGCTGACTCCATCTTCGGGGTAAAAAGGTAAGTTGGATAGCAGCAGATTCGTCCGAAAAAAAAAATTGGTTCCATCTTCCAAACTACACGTCGTCATATATCAGAAACAGCAATCATCTTAACTCTTCCTTATTCTACTTATTCGGAACTCCAAAATCGACATTTTCAAAAACTTACATTTCTCTGAACCTTGTGATTTTATCGGTTTCAGTGGAGAATAAAATTAAAGCTACAAAATTGATCCTGTTACAATGGCGTATTTCGGAGGAGAAGTCCAACGCCCTCCCAACAATCCTGATCGACCTATGCTGCTTCGCTGTGTGTAGGAACTGAATTATGTCTGCATACGTAACAGTTGTGAATGGCTCCATTGTAGGTTGTCGTGTGGCATAGCGCTCAACCTACTTTCGCCATCAATGCTGTGGGCAGCCGCTTTGGCGCTGGACAGCAGTCTTGATCGTCTTGATGTAATTCAGATATGCAAGAAGCCACAACTGAATAAATTAATCTCAAGGCAATATTATACGCGGAGAAAGATGCTGTAGCACAATGAGCAAATTAATTCGTTGAACTTGCTGTAACAATATATGCTGGATCTTAAATCACAAGGTCAAAGAAAATCTGTGCCCACATCTACATGCTGATTACTCAATATCATCTGTAATTATCAAGGACATAGCTCTCATATGATGAAATGAGTAGAGATTCTGTTCTTAATTTGGTCGCTCTTACATAATAGTATTTGTATCAGAAATTCAAAACTCTGTATCTTATGTAAGGGGTGACCCTTTTTGGCTCTTGCACCGCGACCACAATAAACTCTGTATCTTAGTAGCTTCATTTCAAAATGTGACAAGGGTCGTGCTTTTGTGAACAACAGCAGCAAACGGAAATTTTATTTGCTATCAAATTAAAAGCTGATTAATTTCTGGGGAAGTTTCTTAACATTAAAGTCAGACTTATATTTTTTGGGGTTCTTTCGAAGTTCAAAGATTAAACGTGTAAAATGATATTTCTCTCTGTATAGCCTAATGGTTGCAATGCTTTGTCTCCCACCCTAAGGAAATAATGAAGATTGGAGGTGCCTGAAGAAAATTATTCAGGATAATATCTGGACCCAAGAGAAAGGAAGGAATTGAAGAAAGAGGAAAGGTGGATCATGAGGAGCTTCATAGTTTGGTTTCTTCACCCAATTTAATTAGGCTCCCAAACCGTGGGAGATTCGCTAATATGATGATGAAAGAGCTTATGGAATTCCGGTCTGAACATAACACTTAAAATTAATTTAGAAAAATGGGAAATAATATAAATAGAACGCTGTCAGGATATGATTCTATAGTGAATGTCTGTGAGCACGGTGAAAAATATTTGGGTCCCACAACGTTTTTGACTACTCATTTTTTATCAGTCGATCCATGAGACTCTGTACCATGAAGTCGGCTGCGTGTGTTTAACTTACAGTGCTAAAGAAATAAAATAATATTTCCCTTGCTATTAAACATTCCTGATTGGCTGATGCTGTAGTAATGTTTGATCAGTCCATCGGTTGTTTAACGACGCAGTATCATTTACGGAGCTATTTCGTGATATGTTATGAGAGGATGGTAATTTATGACCATTTGAAAATGAAGAAGCGGAAAAGTAGGCTGTGGCATGTTTTTATTTAGGGGATTCACGAAAAATCCCAGCTAGATGTCCGGTCCCTTAAGATACATTAATTTATACCAAAGGTTATCAAGCTTTTTGTACAAACTACACCCTGAAACTTTTAAAGTAATATCTGGGTACACCCAAAGAAACTTAGAAAATGCAAATAGTAATATTTTAATGGTCTTATAATATATATACAAAGTGGCATTCATTAGCGTAGCTGGCTGAGGCACTATGCTACAAGCCGGAAGGTCACGGTTTCGATTCCCGATAAGGTCATTGGATTTTTCAAGTTGACCTAAAACTTCCAGCCTCACTATGGCCCTGACGTCGACTCAGCCTCTAAAAGAAACGAGTACCAGGAATCTTCCTGGTGGTAAAGGGCTGCCGGTGCATAAGGCTGAAACCCTAACCTCCATCTGTGAGCCGATTGTCTAGAAAATGTGGGAGCCTCGACCTCTCACAAACCTATGGACCTCCACAGCCTGCTACAGGGAGAGCTTTACTTTCTTTATGCTGCAAACATGTGCGACGGATATTAGTTCAAACAATTTACACATAGGCTACAGAAAGAATCCATATCTGATCGATATCTTAAAAACTGAAAAGAAAACAAACTCCGTGGTTTCAGTCCGCAAGCGAACTATACCGACCGAGCGACCGCCGCTTGTCGGCGAAGTTAGTACCAAATTTAGCGGATATAGGGTGTCGCATGATCAGCGTAACGAATCCCCACGGCCGTTAATTTCGATTTTCTAGACCGGAGCCGCTATTTCCTTAAAATAGCTCCTCAATTATCGTCACGAGGCTGAGTGGACCCCTTGAAAACAGACCTAAATACGAGTATATAGACATGTATACGCTTTGTGCAATTAATTTAGTGTCTTTAAATATAAGAATGTGGAAAAGAATACCAAAATTTGGTGTAACGATATTTCTCAAGCGTTTTATTAACGATTTTGCTTCTGCCGTTTGTTTGATGCTCCTCTGTTGCAGATTTAAAAGAGCAACATAAATTCCACACTTCATAGTCATAAATTCAATTAGGACCCTCGGTAAACCTGTTCGATAAGATAAACGTCACACTGCGTACAAGCATAAAATGTGTTTCCTTCAATTTCGTTAAATGATACCTTATAAAATGCTACAATTTAATGTTTACTTACTCATGGAGCTGAGCCCCTCTGGAGGAGCCGCTAATTCTGCAGCTGCTCAAGAATTTCCGGCATTTTATGGAACCCGAAGGTTCATCACCGTGTTCACAAGAGCTCTCCACTGGTCCCTATCCTGAGCCAGATCTATCCAATCCATACCATCCCATCCTATCTCTCTAAGATCCATTCTAATATTTTCCACCCACCTACGCCTTGGTCTTCCCTGTGGTCTCTTTCCTTCTGGCTTTCCCACCAATATCCTATACGCATTCCTCGCCTCCCCCATTCGTGCTACATGACCTGCCCACCTCATCCTCCTTGACTTGATCATTCTAATTATACTTGGAGAAGAGTACAAGTTATGAAGCTCCTCATTATGCAGTTTTCTCCAACCTCCTGTGACTTCATCTCTCTTTGGTCCAAATATTCTCAACACCCTGTTCTCAAACACCCTCAGTCTATGTTCCTCCCTTAATGGGACCAAGTTTCACACACATACAGAAACACAGGCAAAATTATAGTTTTGTATATTCTAATTTTTATGTTTTTGGACAACAGACAATTTAATGTTACAAATCTTAAAGTGATCTAAATAATTTATTCACAAAATTTGTATTGTCTTAATCAACTTCAATCTCAGCTTAATGTAAATAAGCCCACGTGATACATCGCTCAACTAATTCTTTCAAGTTGCTTTCACTTCGACCCCATGAGTCTAATTTTGGTGTAATCGAGTGAGGAAAGCGAACGATCTGGACCAAGGTCACTCTAAAACGCGGTCCGCGCAGCAGAACCTGAAAACCTGTCTCTTCTTGCACGTTTCATTTCTCAGTTTAACACATCTCTTTCTGTCTCTGTCTGTCTGTACCATTTGTTTTGTTGGCCACCAAATTGTTATTGTTAAGTCAAGGGTATCCAGTAATTTTCTGTTTTGATGTTCTTCGTGTCGTGTAATAAGTAAGCTATTTCGACTTCACCCACTAAAATATCAAAGGAGATAACGCATCTCGAAGCAGAGGACATCCGGTAGCCGTGAAAACGTGCCAATTTGACAACGGATTCTCAGCTAACTACGTTACTGCAGCGTGGTAAACCATGTAACTGAATGATTGCGAGCTATACATTTTTAATAATATGGGGTGAATCTGACATATAATTCTTTTTAGCAGCTCGTCTAGTACTTTTTGGAGGGACCAAGTAAAATCACGATAAATCTAAGAATAAAAATATCAGGGCCCAAGTTCGAGCTAGGAACTTCCTAAACTTATTATAATGAAATATTATGAGTTCCCTGATTGTTTAATATAATTGAGTTAATACTAACATAAATAAATTAAAATAAATTAATCTTGAATTCTAGGAATAATTGCTCTGAGGCCTATCATGTACTCCGATGATTTAATTGTATATCACAGCGGTTATTAAGGAGAAATTTCTGGCGATAGTATTTGAATATTATAAATATATTGTAGTTACATATCTTAAACCGCAGCCTTTTCATGTAAAATAAATCCTGTAAATAATATTCTTATTAATTGCAATTTTTAAATTTGTAATACAATTGAAAGTACGAGATGAATTAACAGAGGCATGCTCAATAGACCTTCTCCCCCGCGGCTACGTAAAGGGCAGCTTGAAGATTTCTGTCCGTCTGTTTGTTGCAGTACTTGCTTTCCAGTAAACAGTCGTGTAGCACAGACCCATAACGTCCGTAAAAAAAAATATACACTGAAAGACAAGGAAAAGCGTCTGAAAACTGGAATATATTTCCCGGAAAATATCTTAATTATTTGGCATAAAAATGGCTGATTACCTCAAGACAAATTGCTGTTGGTCGCACTGAGAATCACTGTGGGCGTACAAAAATACATTGAAATTTGCAAATATATTTTTTGCAATGAGAAAATTTTGAAAACAATACATTTTAATTCGAAATTCATGCAAAGCATACTGGTATGTAAAAACTGATATTCGTCCGATCATTTTAAGTGTTGAGGCACTATGATACAAGCTGGGAGGCCGCAGGTTCGATTCCCGATTAGGGCATTGGATTTTTCAGTTAACCTAATCCTTCCAGCCGCAATGTGGCACTAGGTTCGACTCAGCCTTTGACAGAATTGAGCACCAGGAATCTTCCTGGGGAGTAAAGGGCGACCGGCGCTTAAGGCTGACAACTTGACCGCTGTCTGTGAGCCGATTGTCTGGAAAATTTTGGAGCCTCGACGTCTCACAACCCTGTGGACCTCAACGGCCTGTTACGGCTTTACCTTTTAAAAGTAGACTTACTGAGATCACCTTACTATTTTTATGTCTGTAATTTCTTCCCCAACAAAATTTGAATACATGAATCAGTCTTCATGTACATCATGGCAACTGAGCCCATCTCAGCGGCGTACTTCATAAATCCCTCCCATCAGTCTGTATGTCTGTATGTGTATCTCCCTATCGTAGCTAGGCAACGGCTCGGTAAAAACTTCACCGAGGCGACGAATACACACTCATCGATAGAAGAATCGTTGGATTTTTTTTTCTGTGCGATCCGTGTAGTACCTAAAGAAATCAGACGGTCAATTCTTCCCAGAACGTACTATTTTAAGTCCTGGATTCAGTAGTCGGCTTGGATGCCGATTTTCCTGAGTGAACTTATTCGTAGTTTTCCTCAGTCCCTCCAAGAAAATTATTGTATAGTAGCACCCGTGTGGCAAAGCTACTTCCTTCCATATTCTCCCCTTCTCTTTCACAGCCACTCCTCTGCAGCTGAGAAAACTTCGTTAAGGAGACTAATGGCTACTCACCCCTGCTCCTGAGCTATCTTGATGTTCCACCACGGTATCTTGGCGGTTGCTGCCGGGGATAGAAGCACAGCCACCAGCATGTGCAGAATAACAGAGCACGGAATGTCTGTCGCCATGGCGCGGAGAGCATGAACTGGAGGAGCTGCTGCTACTTCAGGTCGCGGCTGATACCAGCACAGCTATGGAGAGAGGGAGGGAACTCTCTGCCCTCGCCTCGAGCTAAAGGTCAGATTGCTTCTCGAGCCTCTAAGGTTATACATCACCTTTCCAGCATTGGACCGCATCCATATTCACGACTTCAAAAGCAAGCCTGTTCAGATATAGAAGCTGAATTTATTGCACTTCATGAAATACAGTGCTAAAACAGTGAAATCTTAAAAATCTCTGTCAGAATAAGCGTTTACTTGGCAGGCATTCGAATCTGTAGTCCTGTCTCCGTCCCAAATGCAACTTCAGAATATTTCCGCTACTCGGTACTGCACAACATAGGGTAAAGTAAGTGGACGTGTAACCACAATGAGCGCTGCCTGGCAAGTGTCACTGAAATTCAGACAAACGTTGTTCTTGCAACCCTCTTCAAAACTCGATAACGTATTTCGATACCTCGCTATTTAGTATTCAGGAAGTCCCAGATTCCGATATCGGCCTGGACTTCGGTTATCCTGACTGAAATCTTTGGTGAGTTCCACAGTTTCTCCAGGAAAATTAAAATTAGGCCACATCCTCCCCAATTCATTTTTCATTAATCGTCCCACCACTGGACTGCACACTACGTGTTTTATATATGCCGTATAGAAAGTGACCATGATCAGTAAGCTGAATTTCGTTCATCCCTAACTAACTAACTAGCTCTATGGACCTCAGTCCTTTTTGAGAAACTGCAAGTCGCTCAGCTACTCAACATTTTCTCAACATTTTATGGGAACTTACCGTCTTCACAAGAGTCAGTCTCTAGTCCTCATATTGAGCCAGATGAATCCAGTCCATGCGGCCCCACCCTTTTCTCTAAGATACATTTTAATGCTATTCTCAGACGCGTGTTGAAGTCTTCGTACCTGTAATTTTCCATCTGTCGTTCCCACCAAAATCTTGCATGCATGATGTATGCCCGGCCTATCTGTTTCTACTTGACTTGATCGTTTTCATTATATCTGGAGAAGTGTGCAAGTTATGAAGCTCCTCGTTATGCAATTGCTTTCCAGTTGCTATATCATCCCTCTTGAGTCCAAATTTTCTCCTCAGCACCCCTTTGTCAAACACCCTCAATATATTTTCTTCCCTTAATGTCAGAGTCCGACTAGCAATAATATAAATTTGTTTCCGAGCGAAAGCGTAAATGCCTTTTTCTCATAAACGCATATTCTTCTTAGCATTAAAATGTATAGACTTGAAAGGATTCTGACGATGGTGTATGCTGTACAGAACTATAAGGTTTATTTTACACTCTATCCATCGTCTGGTATAAAAAAGACAAAAATTACGTTTCGAAGACTGAATCTGTCTCCATCCTCAGGCCATTGGTCCAGTGATTGAGGCTAGCTCTTTCTAACGGGCCCACCTGAGTAGGTTTATCCTGCCCCATCCACCTGAAGACAAAGACAAATCCAGTCTCCGAAACGTTGTGGCTTTTTTGTCTTTTTTATACCAGACGATGGATAGAGCCCAAAATAAGCCTAATAGTTCTGTATTAAAATTTATGTTAAAGGCTACTCTTTGTTCTCTTTTATACAATTCATTCCAAAGATTTCGTTGGGTGAATTCGAACATTTTTAAATTTACCACAAGCAGAAATGTCCGTTTTTCGCCCCGAATATGATTATATAAATTAGAATATACTCGTATGAAATTCTTTCCCTGGAGTAAAGCGACAGGGGCGTGAAGCTGACCATTCACCTCCAACTAGTGCCGAGGAAAAGAAAGCTTGGATCTATACATACACTCCCCCATATATCTTCATAGTGCAGTGTTTATTTATTAAACACAGGGAGAAATTCACCTCTACATCATACCAAATAAAGGCGGGGAATGAGGTCATTTCCAAAAACTCTGCCGCAAAATTTGAATATTGCGTAAATTCTGTCAACATTGTGAAGTAAATTTCGTGAAATCTGTGCTCCTCGCTAGGCCCGCGGTATGAAACAGAATACGCTAGTTTTGACATCGGCACTAGCTGGAGGTGAGTGGTCAGCTTCACGCCCACGCTTTACCCCCGGGGAAGGAGTCCCTGGTACACATTGTATATGAAGTTGGGTGGACCCCAGAGTCGGTCTGGAAGACGTGGAGAAGAGAAAATTCTTGACCCTATCGGGATTCGAACTCCGACTCCTCGGCCGTTCAGCCCGTAGCCAGTTGCTATATCGTTCTGTAATGTAAGAATTAAATAGAGAGAGGTTAGTTCTATATATTATTGTAGGTCTACTGCAACCCGCGTCTGTCTGACTCTTGTTCAATGTTCAAACGCTGCTGTCACAACTGCCTGTTACCCAAGGCCGGAATAATAATGCTGTCACAGTTTATAAGAAGCTTCCAACAAACGTCATGCAGTTAAACCATTTTATTGCCCCTCGGTCATTCGCAGCGTAATATTATTTTTTATTTTTAAAACATAAATTTATATACAAAAATGGCCTGGGACATTCTTTCAGCGCCCTTTTTTTTAAATTCGTGTGTATAAAGATAGCCTAAGCAATGCCCATCAGGCCCTTCAGCATAACTTTTTTATTGTGAAAAAATAATTGTAAATACAAAAAGGGCCTAGGCAATGCCCATCTGACCCTCTGTAGCACATTCTTATAAATATGTTATTCTATTACAGAGGTCTCCCCGCGATTTTTGTATATCTTAACTTAAATCTGAGATTATATTATTATAGTACTGTTATTATTTTGTACATTTACTTTTTTTTCTTTTCTTACACGTCTACTTTAAATTAATATAGGAATATGCACATTCGTGCGCTTTTCTGTTAATAATAATATAGGAACATTGTTTATGAACTAACAAACGCCTGGCAGAAAATCTTTTTTCTTCTAGCCTTAAGGGCGAGGGCACACCAAAGAAACTGGAAACCGCAACGCAACTGCAATTTCCGAGAACTGAAAATCAATTCTCTGAAATTGCGTTGCGTTGCGTTGCGGCTTCCGGTTTCCTTGGTGTGCCCTTGCCCAGAGAGCTCTGATTCAGCGTAGCAATTCACATACGAACAGTGCTGCCATCTCTTAATGATACCATAAACTTGAAGTACGTCACCAAGGTTCATGACGTCACGCTGGCTATGTTGCCCGCCAATAGCATTGAGTTGCGACCAATTGCAACTGATTGCAACACCGCCATTTTGTCATTAGAAGCTTTGGGTAGCAATTGGAAGCATTCTGAAGTTCTGAAGCATCTGAAAGTTATTTCGTGGGTGGAAGTTGTCAAGTGCAAGTTGTTGTGTCTGGAATATTTTCTTCTTTTTGCCTTTCGATAAGTACAAGTGAGAATTTGGAGAAGATGGAATCATTCAATTCGTGGATGGTGTTTCCAGTTGGGCTGCATGCTATGTTATCAGACAAACTTGTGGATATAGTTGGAGAACTACCGGAGGAAATCGGCATCATGATTATCAGGTAAAAAATATATCATTGTGATTCAGAAGTTTTTTAATTGTGCTTCATATTTGTCCAGTAGATGAATTTAAATTTTAGTTTTCGAATATACAGTCTCTTAGCTGAATCTATATACATCACTGTAACGTATAAAATGTTTAACATCCAAAAGAAAGTAATTTGAATGGCATGCCAAAAGCAGGGTATCTTATAGAGAAATTTAATATACTTCGGGCTGCAAGCGTATACATATTATTATGCTAGTTATCGTTTGTGGTGGAAAACGGAAATAATTATTTTCAACCTACAGTTAAAAGCTTAGACCATGATATGAAAGCATTCAAGCCTGTATTAAAAGATTAACTCCTAACTCCTGCTCTGTAGATAATTTTACCAATATTGAAAATGTTTAAGCTTTATGGATATCTGTATGTGAAATATGTTTCTATTATGATGATCCGGGATAGCGACTAGCTACTGGGTGGACGAACGAGGGGTCGTGGGGTTAAGACTTTTCCATGTTGTTCAGACCGGCACTGGGATCCACCCAACTCCTATCCAATTGATACCGGGGCTCTTTCCCCTTGGATAAAGCGGTCGGGGCGTGAAGCTGGCCACTCACCTCCCAACTAGTGCCAAGGGCAAGAGATCCACTCCCCTATATAACTTCATGGCATAGTGTTACTTAGTAAATTACAGGGGCAAGTTTTTTAACTTATATAACATCCTTAGGTTTAGTCCAAAGAATGATGTGAGGAATGCAAACTCAATTCAAACATTTCCCCCCTCTCAGTGTTTTAAGATCATTATTACAGTCGCAGATTTCAACATTTGATTTGGCTCTGGTTTACTATTAAATTTTTATAGGCCATGTTGTTTCTTGAAATGTACAATTTGTTGGGACTGCTACAATTCTGTGCAATATAAAACAGTAAGCTGGTGTTGTGCTCTTTATTTCTTTTATTAGCAATAGCCATAGGGATTTAAAATCTAAATTTCTTAGCCCCTTGACCTATGAATCATAATGGCTTAGTCAGTAAAATGATTATGGACTAGACTACCAGTCTTTGATTCCTGACACTAGGAGATTTATATTAATGTATCAAATGGCCCAGAGCCACACACAAATTCTTATTATCCAATTTAAATCTTGGGAGAGCATCAGGTGCTAATTTCCAGTTGTAAAAGCAGAAGAGGGCTACATTTATGTGAGATATGTGTGAAAAGACATGGTTTCCCAAATTTGAACTTTAGAATGTTTATGGCTTTGAATATTTCATCAGTTTTTATTCTCCTAACACAAGAAATTGATGCTTGCCAATAATTTCTTTAATAGACACAAGACAATGTTGTTAAAAGTGTAAAATCATATGAAGTATTTCTCCTTGTAATTCAGTGAATTTGCTTGAAACATTTTTCAATGCAGTTAATATTGAGACATCATTAACTTGAAGTTGGACTGTTAAGTGATGTGGCAATGCTGATTTAATAAATGGGGTATAAAGTTTCATTTAGAACTTAAGACCTTTTAATAGTAACTAATGTATCACATTAAATTACTTGAGTCAGTAAACATACCAGAATTTGTTAGCACAGTCTGCAGAGTTCAAATTCAGATCACCTGTTGTGAACCAAAATTAAATACATCAGTCAAGTACAGAGGAGCCACTAATATTAAATCTTATAACTTAGAATGTGGTTAATGCATAGACATAAAATGTAACACTGTTCCAAATTTAAATTTACCTACAGTGACATCTGAAACCATCCTGAATACAAAGTTATGTTAACTTCTACTAATATAGTCTGAAATGGTAACCAATTTCAATATTTGATTGCAGGATGCTAGATTCCAGGACTCTTCTGTCTGCAGCTGTGGTCAGCAAAAAGTGGCGGAATTTATGTCATGCAGATTCACGTCTTCAGAAGAAAATTATGCAACAAATAATGTTCCAAGGAGTGGCGCAATACCTGAATCCACATAAAATCAGCATACAAAGGAGAGATCCAAATAACTACTGCCCATCATCTACTATGAATGGGCACCACAGGATGACTGTTGCACCTGTATCAAGTAAGTTTTCAATGCTGTCTTCGTTTGTTAAAGTAAATGCAGTGTTTAGAACAGCCTTACATAATCATGTGATAGTAATGTTTACAAGATATATTTGTGATACATAACCCTTGTATTGCTTTCATTATTTAAATCATTATACATCTTCGTTGAATGAAGCCGTCAGGTTGGGTGAAATGGTTAGCCTTTGTCGTCAATATGTTGTGTTGTTTTCAATGCAAGACCATTATCCCTAGTTAAATCCAGCCACTAGTGCCATAGTAGTAAGATATTTAAATCCCCTGCTCTTGGACAGTAAAGGTTAATGCAACAATACTTGTAATCTGCCTACTAAGTGATAAAAGAGACAGTATTGCAGTTCTTTCATGGAACAGCCATACATGAAACAATTTTAATGCTAGCCCTCTTGGTCTGATTTCCATGATTAGTTGGATAGACCATTGCAATAACAGTGAGAAGAACAATTTTATTATTTTATATCTATACTACTGATCTGATATCACTATTTCCAGTATTGTAGGATCATCATCTTTGCTGCATACATCATCATTTAACAATTTCCATATATAATTTTCATTTATATTTCGATATTTCAATCAGTGATCCCATTAGCTTCCTTCCATAATGTTCAGTGCATTTTCTTTATGAAATGGTACTAAAAATGGGACAGTCAGAAATACTTAATTGTCAAGTTAATGTATCAATCATTGAGTTGCTACAGTGGTCAGTCCCCAAATACAAGTGTAGCAGTCCAACTTGCATGTAGGGTACATGCATTTTTAAACCAGTCACTGCTATTTATATACTTGATTTTAAATTACATGTTTATTATACATAAAATAAGGGAAGACCAAAGCGTAGGTGGGGGACAATATTAGAGATAGGATGGGATGGTATGGATTGAATATATCTGGCTCATGATAGGGACCAGTGGAGGGCTGTTGTGAACACGGTAATGAACCTTGAGGTTCCTTAAAATGCTGGGAAATTCTTGAGTAGCTGCAGAATTGGCAGTACCTCCAGAAGGGCTCAGCTCCATGAGTAAGTAAGTAAGTTATACATAAAATAGTACATCCTATTTCTTTCCGATAATTTTAGCCACTGAATTTAATAACTGTGTAGCCTCTAACTTGTGGTCAAACATGTTAAAGCTTTGTCCCACATGACAGTTAAAAGCTGACTTTCAGTTGTGGGCATGGGAGTCATGCTAATTGGCATTATTAGCATGAATCAGCTTGTCAGCAAAGTCTCTCTCCCTCTTTCTGACCATACTACATTTTCTTTTGGCCAGCAGCCTCCATTACCATAAACGCCAACTTCCAAGCGGTACAAGATACTGGGGCTAGTGTTATACACTGTCATTACCAGGATAATAAAGGTCTATCAGTGAAAATGTGTTCTCATCGTAACCTTCAAAATGTTTCCAAATTCTGGTCTCTATCTGACCATCATTCTCATGTATGTCTATGAAACAGTTTTTATTAACCACTCTAGCGCTCATTGGCACCACAGCTCTTCCAGTTTGCATATCATAACTTGAACCCGAGAAATGGTAATATGGAAAGAAGTCACCTTGTAGAGGTTGGTTCTAGCCCTGATCATGCTTGAAGGCTCAAAAATATTCATGAAGCTGTACATCTAATACACTAAATAGTTATGCAGAGAAATTGGCTAAAAATTGATCAAACTCCTTATCAGCCTTACTAGATCTAGTTTAAGGCATGTAGTTAGTATTATGCAGAATTCTGTGGTATTATTACAGGTTAAACTCCACTGCCTCCCCAACCTCACATATGAACAGTGAGTATGGTGAATTGTTTATTCTTTATTATGCTAGTGGAGAATGCTGAAGGATCCTTCATCATAAATAAACTGTCTTTGCACCTGGAATGCAAGGGACATTGTACATAGCGGTATCTGGGCTTGTATTCTTCTCGTATTTATCAAGACTTTTTGACCATTCCTCTAATATTATTTTTGTTATATTTAGTTTCAAGTTCATTAATTCTGTCTTTGGTCTTCCCTTATTCTTTCTTTCTGAAAGTTTTAGTAGTTTCATATCATACATTATTCACCTTATTCCCCTGAATTTGACTTGATTCTGCAGTCCTTGAAATTTTTTGTGCATTTCACTGAAGCNGTCTGCTTTACCGTGTCCTACGGTGTTGTCGCTTGCAGATTTACTTATACTTTTTCTTCAACCCTGAAGATGGGGGCGATACGTTCCTCCGAAACGTCGGTTAACACCACATATACACGGTGCCAAATCCCAGAAGACTGCTTTCTTCATAGTCACCGCCGTGAAAGCCTCAAATCTTACATGATTTATTCTGTTTTAATCTGTAGTAATCTAGACTGTGTTTGGCTGAAGTTTTCTAATACTTTTCTAAATCCTATTCATATCCATATTATCATCTGTATTCTTCAGTGCTGTGTACCAGTTTTCCATTTTAATCTGATACTGTTCTCTTGTTTAACTTACATATTATTTAGCTTCTTAAGTTAAATTTCCCAAATCATAATTTGTGTCACCCATTTCCTTACTGAAAATCCCTTCATATTTTTCCGATATCAGTAGTACACCACTAGTATTACAGTCAGGCCCTCTAAAAGATGAGATAGCAACTGTAAACTTGAAAACCATCACTTATCTATTCAAAATACGATCAGAAAAAATAGTAAATTTTCCTGCTCAGTTTAATCAGAATTTTTTCTTCTTATTAATTATGTATTCCATTTCTCCATGTGTTACAATAGCAGAATTTTAAATGAAATTGTGTTTATAAAACAAAAAATCTCTTGTCTGCAAGTTTGTGTTATATGGCCTATGTACTAAGATGAGATAACAAATTGCAGATACAGATCGCCCGAGGCTTCCTCGGATGTGGGCACCAACAGACTGGCAATTTACAGTTCCAGCTGCAGAACAACCAAATGAAACAACACAAAGAAAGGGATTCAGCAAAGCTGGCAAATCATCATCCACAGCAAAAAGAGGTAGGTAATGCCACCACAATCTGTAATATTCTGTAGGACAGTGGAGTGGCTTGAACGCAATTCGGCATGTCCTGGTTGATATAGTGGTCATGCTGTAAACCCATATTTGACAAGAGTCTGCTTTGATACTTGGCTTTGCATGGTTTCTTGCCATTCCAACTCATTTTTTCTGGGTTTTCTCTTGTGGTGATAGTGCTTTTAAATAGCAAAGACTTGCATTTCAAGACCACATCTACTCAGTGTCTAATGTCTGTCATAGCTTCTCAGCCAATTTGATACAATGCCATTGAACAACCAAAGACTTGCTTATGCAAGTATGGCATCACGTACTTTCTTAATTATATTTTTAGTCTATAATATATAAAAGCATCATACATAACCAGCGATCATAGTACCCAAGTCTAAGGAGACTTGTGAGCAAGATTATATATTTTGTTGAGCAATGAGGCCTGTTTATTATTAATTTATTTGATCAATAATATACTTCAGCTTGAGAATTTTATATTAAAGGTAGAGTAAACTATTGTATACACTTTGAGACATTCCTTTTACTTTAGATTAACAATGGATTTTTTTTTTCAGATGCACACAGAAACTCACCAGAATGGAAATGGAACCAAATCTTTTGACACTTGTATCTGCATAAGATGAATTATATTAAACTTATTTTTTAATGCAACTTGATTCTAATTAAACTTAATTTATAATGCAACTTGATTCTAATTAAACTTATTTTTTAATGCAACTTGATTCTCATTCATTTGAAATTGTCCTGTTGTCCTTTCCTACCAATCCATTCAAATTCACTGAATTCTGTTGTCCTCTTATACCAGCCAATGAATGCTACATGATCATTACATTTGATATGTAACACCTTATTCAGTGGGTTTATTTAATTAAAATATGGGTAAGATGATACTGGGACAAAATTAATAACTTATCTCTGGCCTATGTCAAAATGAAGTGGAATTTTAACAAATGATGGTATCCCTATTTAAAATGAAGACCATGATGTAATAAGGTATTAGCAGTCCATATTCAAATCTTGGTCCACAGACTGGTCATCCTACCGGTTTTTATGTATTGCAGCAGCGAGATGATAATTACCAAAACCCTGCCATGTACTACTGGCAAGATGAAAACATGATTTTTAGACAAATCTTAACATTTCTGCTGATACAGTGAAGTTCAATGTATCCTGGTCAAGGTCAGGCAGCTCCATTCACCAGTGCCCTGCTTCTTCTCTTTGTTGGAGTATAGTAAATGCTGGGGCTCTATTTCAAAATTAGCTATGAATGTTTTTCCCATTGTCTCTTTGTCAATTCAGTACTATATATAAATAGCCCATCACCTGGAATTTATGTGTGTATAAAAACTAAATTTGAAACAACAAGATTACATATACCAAGGAATGACTTAGACCTTGCAGCATACAAGTCCTGCTACAATATTTTGTTACAAGTCTAGCAGAATGTGAGTGATATAGAAAGACTGGATGACAGAATGAAAAGACACAGTGAGGCTTATAAAATGCCTTTGCTCGATTGTAAAATATGTCCACATGTTGATTAGGAAACTGATAAAAGTTAAACTCATACTAGTAACAATACCCATCATCTTTCCTGCTTACCCAAACAAAATACTCATAAAATTATAAATAATTTTTGCAGACTGATGAAATGTGATTGGCCCTGTTTTATTATTGAGTGCATCAGGGAACTGCTATTCTTACAGCATAAATATTTAAATTTTGCATTTTCCACGACAGAGACTACCATTACACTACATCTGATTAAATTTTATTCAGTGCATTTAATAAAATTAGCAATAACTTGGATTATGTAGTGCCAAAATGACTGGACAACACTGAATAGTGAATTCGACACATAGAAGGAGCTTTGGTCTAATTAAAGGGAGACGCATTGCTAAGTAATGACTGTAAACAATGCCCACTGCTATTTACATTAATGTAACCAAAAACTGTGTTCTATGTAGTTTTTAAGTGTAAGTTGTGAGCAAAATCATGAAGTTGAAAACATTTATCTCTGATGGAAACAGAATTTATTTCAAGTTTACCAACCTTCAACTTTCCTAAACACAAGTATTCGGTGTATGTTGCAGTTTACAGTTTCCATTTCATTTCAATAAGGAGGTGCTGGATTGATGTGAATGAAATGTGAAGTCTTTAAATGGCGCTTGTGAGGAACTTTCTTCAAGTGGATATGAGAAAAGTGATACTGAAATCAGTTAAAAAAAAAAAAAAACAACGGAGTAAGAATGTCTGTAGTTCAAGTGGTCAGGTTGCAGATTTATTTATTTCTATTCTTGTGAACTTGTGAAGTAGTGGTTCCTCTAGGGGGAGCAGTAAGCATAGGTCGATGCTATGTCTTGGTCTTCCCAGTAGTCCCCTTCCTTCTGGCTTTCCCACAAATATCCTATATGGATTCCTCCTAGCCCCCATTCATGCAACATGCCCTGCCCATCTCATCCTCCTTGACTTGATCATTCTAATTATACTTGGAGAAGAGTACAAGTTATGAAGCCAGGAAAGTAAACTAGTTTAAAAAAGTTCATGCCACTGATATTCAACACAATTTCCATACAAAAGTTTCCACCTGTCTCGCTATACATGAAGAACATTACAAATATGTGACATCTTTCACAGCAATGAGCACAAAACTACAGTCTTCTGGGATGTAATGCCATACAGCCTCACAGATAGTTACCCTGAATATGGAGGCAGCAGATTCCTCCAAAGTGGTAACTGTCTATGGGTCTACATGGCATCATATCCCATAAGATAGTAAGTAATGTGAGTATATAACTTCTTCAATTTTCATTGACATATCAAATATAAAATATTCTGCAAAACAAAAATGGTTTGAAAGCAAATAAATACACAGAATTTATGTCCAGAAATAAAGCTGAGAGCCATCAGCTACTTAAAATTAACTTGCCTGTGGAAGGAGGGTAAGCACATTCCTAACACCCTTATGGTGCCATGAAAACATCNTGGGAAGCCAGCGACTAACCGCTTAAGCTGTGGCGCGGCCATTCAATTCAATATGACAATATAATAATGTCATGAAGTGTACGACTGCTTTACCTTCTAACAAACTTCTGAAATAACTGCATAACTCTAGTCAGTTTTAATGCAGCAATTAAAAGTCCTCTGTTACAAAACATGTCATAACCATAATGCAAACAGCCCTTCCTTATTCTTATGACCTTCCATTATGGGATACTGTGGAACCTTCATTTAATATTCCATGATTTAATATTTTCTCATGTACCAGTCATTTTTGATGATCCAAAGTCACTAATCTCAGTGTGAAATCATTTCACGTAAGATAGTCCTCAGTTTCAAGTTCAGATTCACTGAGTAGCACCTCAAAAAAAAAAAAAACCTTTTATGGGCGGTTTAGTGCACTAAAAACCAAATGGGCTATGTAATCTGCTTGTTTTGGCACAATGGAGAAGAAATAGTTAAATGTTTACCTATACAAAGTCTACCAGCCACCTATGTGCTGTACAGTCATGCCTTAAAAGATGTAAATATTTAGCCATGTTGCATCATTCATCTGTTGTGCAACACTGTTATAGCAGCAACTGGAATGCAACTTTATATTGTCTGTGTTCTGTGTATCTTTCAGGTATAAATTGTAAGCAAAGTTATGAGGTTGAATACAAGTATCTCTGATGGAAACAGAATTTTCTTTCAAGTTTACCCACCATCAGCTTTCCTAAACACGAGTATTTTATATATGTTATAGTTAAAATATCCATTGCATTTCAGTAAGGGGGTGTTGAATTAATGTAAATGAAATGGCCATATTTTACAGGCACTGGTGGGAAACTTTCTGCTGATAAATAATGTTGCAACCTGATATCTTGTACTGCAGAGGTTCTTACTACGTTGTGTGTTTTCTGTTTTCGATATGAGTTTGATATCATTTAACTCATGCCCCTCCAGATGGTTTTGAGCGAAGTGATATTAAACTCAGTTCAAAACAGAAAGCACACAATGGAGTAAGAACCTCTGCAGTACAAGATATCAGGTTGCAACATTATTTATCAGCAGAAAGTTTCCCACCAGTGCCTGTAAAATATGAACATTTCATTTATATCAATTATTATTTCTAGCTATCCGTGTGAACCAGTGATTTTTTGGGAGGAAGCAGTATACTAATGCTGGTGGTATGTTAGCATACTTTCTTACCGACAGGGCAGGTGGTATGATAGCATACTTTCTTACCGATCGAGCCCTCGTCACTGGCTGCAACCATTACTTGTCAAGAGCCATGACGGCCATGACGACCAAATATTGATTTGTGTACTCCGGTTTGGTGGTTGCAAACGTTTGGAAAGACATGAGTTAGAAGGTTGGGTGATGATCAGTTGATGTATTTTCTACCATACGTCAGTGTATTTTGCTGCACTGGGTTACGAAGATTCTGTTTCAGCATAGAACTTCAATAAAGATCAGTGTAGTCGTCTACCTTTATAGGTGAAATATGGCGATTGGGAGAGTTAAAACGAAAGTTGAAAAATCTGGAGGTTGGTGCACTGTGGTTGGATTTATCCTAGTGACAACGTTTATGAGAATTAACCCACAATGATTTCAGTTTATTTTATGTTCTCATAGAAAACTGTGTTCACAATAATAAACGTCATTAGATTCCCAATTAGAATTCTACCAAGAAAAACGGTCTTGGGCAGCAGAAACTGTTTGCAGTTACCCGCATAAAGTTAACCATGCTTTCCATTTGTTATAGATCCAACAAAGCCAACTGCCTATAGAGCAATTTTATTTCCAGTCCCCACTCAGTCTCATGATGTTCTTTAAGCACAAGGACAGTGTTACTTTCGCAACATAACTTCTGCCCCCTAACCTGTCACTAAATTTTGGTTTAATTTAAGGTTACCAGCCATAGCTGGCTGATGGTCTGTAGGTTTCCAGTGCTCTTAAATGTAAATAAACCCATTGTTTAAGTAGGAAGGTATGCCATGAGTTAGTAAATACAGGCCAATAGATCTTTGTTATTTTTTATAACATTTTGAGAGTAATGGGGAGGAGGGTGGACATATTTCTGGAGTGTAATTCCCTCTTTTGTTAGCAGTAAATCATTTTATTACTTTTTTGTAACTTACACTGTCAATAAAAGTAAGCAATTTAAGATATGCTTTCATATTTCCCCCATATCCCAACTACATGCCTAGGCCATCATAGCTTCCTAGATTTTACTGTCGTGAAATTACTCGGTGACCTGTATAAATTGCTTGTTCCTGATCATAATTGCCCACTTACTGTATATGACCTTAGCTGAATAAATTGAATTGAATATAATTCAGCATATTTGTTAAACACCATATGAAAAAGTAATGCTTATGTTTAATCTTCCATTTTCAAAATATGTTACATTACAATAAAAAAAAATGTTGTTTATTTGTGTGTATAGAGATTGTTGCATACAGTGAACTGGCAGTAAGGAACAATGCGAGTGTTGTAGAGTATTGCAGAACATCAATGGCTGCTCTGTCTGGAGGAACAGCTGGATTGCTTGGACTCACCGGCTTTTACGGCTTTGGCTTCTATGTATTTGCTGTGGTGGGACTTTGGGTAAGTTTAGTATTCATTGATGGGCCAATTTCTGAATTTTCATAAAATCAGAGTTTGTTGTTCGGCCCACATCACTTTATAATTCTTCTATTTTGGTCTGATTTCAGTATAACACAGGCATTTACGCATTGGAAATAAAATATATTGCACAGTATATACCTCATATATACGTTCAGAGTAACAAGAGAGATGTTCATGTTATACATATAGCCTGCAGCATTGTTTCTGAAATGGTTGGATTTGGTAGTGGGGTATGAGGAGTTGAAATTAATAATTAATTTGTCACATAGATTCAGTTACATAGATACTTTACTGCATTGTAAGCATTTATGTAACTATAGTAGTAAATATCCAAAATTTCTGCAGTCTCTTTAAGTATTTAGAACTTCCAGTACTGATCAATATAATACTGTCAGCAGTTAGTGACTAAACGCCAGGTTTGAATTTATAATTGGATTTATTGAATGCTTTTACTCATAAGTAGGCACTTTCACTGGTCTACAACTCTACAAAGCACTACTGCAAGCACTAAGTCCTTTCAGTCTGCTGTGTGTCTATGCTAGTCATTGCTTGGTGGCACCATCTAACAATGCAATGCAACATGACTGAAACTTTTCCAAATAATGAATGCTGTCAGCAGGGCCTGAATCCTGTCTCTGCTGTGTAATGATACAGCTTGTACTTTTCAGGTGTTAATATTACTAAAAGCAGGATCAAACTGGAGGAAATACTTCATCAGCAGGCGGACTCTCCTTACAAATGGGTTCTTTGGAAGTCTTTTTGTATCCTTTAAAAAAACAACAGGAATTGATGTCATATTACAGACGGGTGGGTTTTACAGCTAAGTTATGATACATACCTTATAATTACATCTGTTATACTAAGAGATTCAGACCATTAGTGCTGTAAGAATGCAAGCAGTGAAGCAACAGTTCACAGAAAAGGGGATGCACATCCTTGTGGGGGGTGGGGAAGCCCTGAGATATAAAATCAGTGTCTGATGTCAAATTAAGGTAAAATAGTTTTATGTGAGATATTTCAGCTGTTATAATTTATACCGATAATGAAGTAATAAGAACCATCAAGTATAACATGCACTAGTTAAAAACTTCACTAGTATAAAATATGCTTTACATGTTTCTGCCCTATAGAGTCATCATCAGAGGCTTATGTGGTAAAGAGGAGATTGCTTAGCATACTTTAATATTTATGTTTAAATCCCTTTCAAATCAGGAGTTCTTTGCATATAGAAATTGCTGATGGACTGCTTAATTTCTAGATATTCTAGCTTCTATTGCTATTGCTTTCAGTATGTAGATTTAGTGCAAAACATGATTCATATTATATTATTGCTACACTGTGCATCCCTTGCTTAGGTGAATAGTACGCTATATAGGTTATGTCATCATTATCTGGGGTGGTACAGTGCTCCCTGGACACCATATCAGTAGATAGACACACGTAGCTTCTTATGAGCTCTCACTACTCATTGCCATATCAAATAAAGCTCACATGATTGAAGAGACAACTCAGAAACTGTACTTACTGAGTGCTATGAATATTGTACTGCTGGAAGCCATGAGACGTATAGAAAATTAACTTCCTGGTAACACGGTAAAGCGTTGCATTGATGGACTTGCAGGGTACATGAAAACACAAGTTTTGTAAAATATAAAATAATGTTTTCTTTCTTTCTTTCTTTCTTTCTTTCTGTAGCTTAGTGTAATGTCATGCCAGTTGTTTATCTGTTCTCAGTTTGCGGATGATAAAGCTAAGAAAAAAAAGTTTTTCTCAAAACACTGGAGACCACATCAAAGGCTTGTGACACTGTGGCAACTGTTTCTTGCTTTCTTTAAGTAAATGGTCTTGCATGGGAAAGGCTGGTTGGTGTTTGCATTAACAGTGCCCCACTGATACTTGACAGTCATTCTAGTTCATGGCATTTGCCAAAGAAAAGAAATCAGGTATAACTGGGACCCACAGCACCATCCATGCTAAGATAACCTGTGTACTTTGGTGCCTTTGGGGATTAAAGTTGTCAGTTTGGAGCTGATCATAAAACTCTTCTCTTTCACGTGAAAGTATGATGGCTTTTGAAGCAGAACTGACTTTGTTTCTGATATTTCTGAGTTTGTGATGAACAATTTGTATCAGCTATCTTGTTAAATTCATTTAATTTGAACCATTATTATTTGCTTAAATTTCTGTTGTATCTTAAAAAGTCATTTTTTCAAAGATGAAAGACTGGTATGTTGCTGTTTCATTCTTTTTACTGCAGTTAAGTTTCAGTCAGTTTGGATGTGTTTTGAATTTGAAATATCTTTTTATAATGTACCACACTATTACAACTACATTATAAATATTTATTAAAATATATGCCATAAATTATATTTAATTCTTTTAGAAGTTTTCATTCTGTCACCACGGCATGGCGCGTACTCAGGTTGTGGATGGAGAAGACGCCCTTCAGTTTTGGAGGGAAACTGTGAATATATTGAATAAGCAGTCGCGGACAGCCGACAAGGGGTGGCCCTCCAGCTTGTGGGTTGGGCGTGGGGCTAACAACTCCTCACTGTAAAAAATCATTATGTAACGAAAATGAACACAAAGCCTCGGACCTGGACTGATTCCTTTGAGGATGAGGTGGGCAGGTCATGTAGCACAAATGGGGGAGACGAGGAATGCGTATAGGCTATTGGTGGGAAAGCCAGAAGGAAAGAGACCACAGGGAAGACCAAGGCGTAGGTGGGTGGACAATATTAGAATGGATCTTAGAGAGATAGGATGGGATGGTATGGATTGGATAGATCTGGCTCAGGATAAGGACCAGCGGAGGGCTCTTGTGAACACGATAATGAACCTTCGGGTTCCATAAAATGCTGGGAAATTCTTGAGTAGCTGCAGAATTGGCGGCTCCTCGAGAAGGGCTCAGCTCCATGAGCAAGTAAGTAAGAAGTTTTCATTAAAGTAAAATAATGTTTAATATTTTCTGTGTATTTTTCATTACATGGTTTCTAGGCATCAGATACATGGGCAAAATAATTATGATTCAGTTGATCATGAATAATAATGTGATAAGACATATGTTTTACAAAAGTATATAATAAAATATGTTACTAAATATATAAAATATTACAAAGTAATTAAAATACATATGTGCAGTAATATAAATGTAAGTGCAAAGGGTTAATTTTATTTTGATCAAAACTGGGGTGGGAATGCATGAATATTTAGTAAACACCAAAAGGAGAGCATCATGTCAAAACGATTTAAACCATTGCAGTAACGTAATAATGAAATGGATAATGGATTTCATTCATGATAGGGGATTATACTTTTATCTTCATTGCCAACTCCATAACTCTAGGTCTTACCCACCTTCCTACTTGGGACTGCTTGGGTGAAACAGTCAGTGCGTAAAGTTAATCTTCTCTCCTGGGTCTAGAATGCACAGTTTTACCTTGACATAAAATTAATATGAGCTTTCTTGCTTGTTTTATGATTAATGCATATCAGAATAACAATCTCTGCAAAGATGGGTTTTGGATGTCGAGCTCATGGTTTCCAGCTTTTCGAGTTATTTCTGCCTTTAAAGTGCTCTTCTGTTATGTGCTGTCTAATGGAATGTATCAGATGTTTATTCCACTTGCATCAAGATTCTAGACTTGAATTTTGAAAAGAATATGTGAAAATCAGCAGTTTGGAAAACATTTGGAGGTAGGATGACTTCTTTGATGGTTAGCTTCTTTTTATCTTACATATTTAATTATAGTAATGCAGCCTTTTATTTCTTCATTTTTCCCAAAATGGAAAGTGTGTGGGACATAGGTTTTTGCTGTAGTGAAGTGATGAGTTAAAATGGCTTAGACACATGGGGCTGAATGGGAGCAATAAGGAGTGCAGAATTTTGGTGAGGGAATATGAAGGAACACAGACATGTTCTGACAAAGAAGGATATGAGAAGATAACATTAAGATGGTTCTTAGGGAAATAGGCAGTGAGAACATACTTGTAATAGTGGGCTTTGAGATGGTTCTTAGGGAAATAGGCTGTGAGAAGATACTTGGAATAGTGGGCTTTGATATTGGTGTTGTACCTTCAGGTTCTGCATGGAAAAGCACTGCTACATGATGGAAGTAATATCACTTAACATATAAATTGGAAACATGACAAGTAAACAGTATGTACAGGTAAACATGTGGAGAAACACTATGTATCACTGTAAGTTGCTGTTCCCATGTATGGGTCCTTAACGGTTCTTCAGACATATGTGCTGTTCTGGACGTATCCTTTCCTATCTTGTATAACTATGTTTACATCTTCTCTTTCTGGTGGATAATTACAGATTGCAAGTTATTAGGTCCTGGATCTGATACGCAACTGGAACAAAATATGTGCATGTAATAGTTTTCTTCTAGTCTGTATGTTAATGCAGAAAACCTGAATACCTCTAGTTTAGGTGAGGAAACCTCGGGTACCACAAAATATGTACAGCATTGTTGGTGCTAACCAGTAATTTTTAACATGATTAGTGCAACATCATATTATTTTACTGCATTATTTGTTCTACCTGAACTTGTTTTCTAGTTGTATGAGACTCCCAGCAGCTTTGGAAGTGTTGAAAACAATCAACATTACATGCAGTCTAGCTCTGAGGCCCACTGAGCTTCCTGTCAACATGCTTACCAGTGATAAAGCTGGCTGGAGCTTGATGCTGACCACTCATCTCCATCTGGTACCAAGGATAAGAATGCATGGAGATATCCCCCCCCAATATATATCCACATATGATTCTTAAGCTTAGGGATAACATTCATTCATTCATCTGTAATCTGTCAAGACGACAGGTCCATGGTCTCTTCCAAAACAGTTCCTCCACTTGATGCGATCTAGAGCTTTCTCCTTCAAATGAAAATATCCTCTTCTGTCCCCAAGGTCATCCAGCATCTTCTGGTCACTTCTATCTGCCCCTCTATCTTCTTTTAGAAGGCAGTTACTGCATAAGATGTTACCTTAAAAATATTATGTTAAATAGATAAAGATTTCTAATATAGCTTTGTTTAAGTGCCTTAATTTTTTGTTGCAGTATTTTGCTTTTAACTGTGGTTACCAATTTTTGTAATTGCTACAAAACTTTTCCTTCACTCTTCTTCCAGATTTTTATATGGAATGGTACATGTGTACTGAGGCATATTATTATTGATTTCACATCTGTTTCTTGTGTTTTTCCCATTTCCACATATTCAAGAACTTCAAGATGAGAAACAGATAACTTCTGATAAAGTATTCATTGTTTTTTCGTGCTGTACATTCATATTTGCTTAAAGTATTTAGGTACAAGGGACCATTTGAATTAGGTGCATTCAGGTTGTCATATTATTGTGTTTTAAAATAGCAGGAATATGGTGTGATCTGTTGTCTTCAAAATATAATATTTTTAGTTTCATGAAATGTCTAGAAATAGTGACCAGTAGGGCAGCATAATTGTACAGATCAAATTGTAGAACACTGGACTGGAAAGCAAGAACTTCAGATGAATAAATTTTGGGATCTGTAGTCCCAGGAGACTTAACCTTAAATCTGTGTGCATTAAAGGACATAGAGATTAAAAATACGGCTATTGGTTCACATTAAGGTATGAAACATTAAATAAATTAAAAGAGGTTTTACAATAAAAAGGTATTTCAGAATTCAGAGACCAGAATTTCAACATTGCTGCTTCAAGAGTGGGAACATTTAGAATAGCATCGCAGTTACTCCAAATACCGTTATATTCTTGTTGAGTGTTGTGTTTATCAGTAACAAACTGCATAAAATTAAATTGGAGGGAGGTAGCATTGGTAAGTAAAAAAAAGTTATCCCTGTAACAGGCCGTGGAGGCCCATAGGGTTGTGAGATGTTGAGGTTCCCACATGAGCCCACAACGGCTCATAGATGGCGGCAAGTCTGTCAGCCTTATGCGCCGGCCGCCCTTTACCCCCAAGAATATTCATAGAATATTCCTGGTACTGATTTCTGTTAGAGGCTGAGTTGACCCCAGGGCCACAGTGTGGCTGGAAGGATTAGGTCAATTGAAAAAATCCACCTCTTCGGGGTTCAATCCCACAACCTTCTGGCTTGTAGCATAGTGCGTCAACCAACTACGCTACCGTGTGCCTCCAAGGTAGTTATGACTTGTATCATTGGTGGCTAGATGTATATTGATTAGATTGATACCCAGGTTGTATTACAGTTTATATACAAAGGTTTTCTCTTGTGGGTGTGTTGATGCTCAGCTTTGTGGTCTGCAGGTTGGTTTTATGTGGTGTGCTTGAGTTGTAGTTAGAGTCAGATATTGTGTTGATGGCCACGGAAGTACCTTAAATAATTTATTACCAACCTCAAAACTTAAAGAGCTTTTTCTTATTTTTCTATGCCTGGTGTACATCATGTTCTGTCAGACAGGTTTAGCTCGGAACAGAACATGCTTTATGCATGGGGACATCAGTCAAATTTTGGCCAGGACAAGACAATCTTAAGCAGAATTTTTTTTTCAGTTATTCCTGGGCAGAACTGATTACCTACTTTAATTCCACTGCAATCTGAGTATTTGATATACAAGTAGAAAGGAAACTCTAGTATGTAGAAGTAATGAAGCCAATAAAATACAGTCTGAGGGGCTGCAATGTTTGTATGGCTGACTTGAGGGCATGAAGTGGTATGATGTACATACCAAGTTTTGTAATGGTTGGTTCAGGCATAGAATTGATATTAAGATTATTGCCACAATTCAAGAAGCTGTGGTGTATGTGTTACTGATGGGAGGGATTTATAATAGTTTCATAAAGATGGGTTATGGCATTTGAAAGGTTTTGGGGAGTGGGGGGAGATACACAGCAAGGTGAACCAATAAGCCCACCTTTATTTTTTCAAAAATAAGGAAAGCTGGATAAAATGTGCCCCATTGGTTCCTTTTGCAGTACAAATCTCTCATTAATTGTGCGTAATACTAAGTTTGCATATTAAATATGGTTGGTTTCTAATGCACCTTGACAGTCTAGTCATTTCTGCTTTTAACCTGAACTGGTTGGTGTAATTCATTTACTGTTTGGGTACCACTTGGGTGAAGTACGTTCTTCTGGGCAAATTAAATATATGAAACCAATTCTGGTAACAAACAAAAAGTTAGAATGCCATCTCTTGTGGTGAATTCCATAATTTTCATTCTCACAACCTGTTTCCTGTAAGATACAGTTGCATGTTACCTTTCCATACGTTTGTTTTCATAGGAGGGCTATCCCAGAGCACAGCTTGCCTTTCTCTTTTTTTTTATCTTTGATAGTTCAAACCGAAAAGTGACAAATGCAGCTCATTTTGCTTAAGTTCGTCCCGTGGAGAACAAATTAATGTGATCACGTGTTACGTATGTTTTGTCGGAGAACGAAGTTAACCAGATCGCCGATACAAACTATATGGTAAATAAAAATGTAACCATACATTTGCGTTTGCCAGTAAAGGATGAAAAATATATTTTTCTGTTTTAACAAAAGTGATTTTTGTTACATCGGGTCAAACTGTGGTGTGACGAGTGTCCATACATATAGATATGTAGTATGCAGTAGCGTTCCTTTATTTAACTCGAGCGACTGCGTGAGGTTCTGAGCACTGAGTATGTTCCTGGAGTTCCTGAACTTTCGGGAAGGTTCCTGAATACAGTCAGCGGATACAAAATGGTGGACTATAGTAAGTGGAAGGATATCGAGGTAAGATGTTAAAACTGCTTCTGCTCTTATTTTTCCACCGCGTTGCGAATATGTTATTCCGGTTAATATTAATGTAATATTTTATGCTAAGAAAGGTATGTCATCTGGAGAATGTTATTCCAATTAAGATAGATCGTGGTTTACCAACCATTATACAGTATAAAAATACATATGTTAACCATTGTTTTTTATTGTAATAAATGGTCTAGATTAGTTGCATTGGTGCACCATAATTGGACGAGTGCAATATTGAGTAGATTTAAAGTGTAAGCTAGGACTTTCAGGTGCTGGAACACCTAATGAAAATTTTTTGCATTAACCTCAACAACAAACTAACCACGGTTGACCATAATCTTTGAGATGTGAAGGCTCCCGCCTTTTATAGAACCCAAAGGTATATTACCATAATGTTGTATTTTAACGACCTGTTGCACTGATTCGTATCCATAATGTGTATATATTTACCGCCTTTTAGTGCATACAATTTCACTTCTCACTTCACACTACATGTTTCGGCATCATTCTGCCATCCTCAGGTGTATCAATCACATTAAACCATTGCACTTCCTGCCATCAAGTGTCCATTTATAAAATGATATAAAGTGTGTGTTTGATGTTGTTCAGTAATAGAATTTATATATTAAAACTTGTTAAGATCCATCATCTTACATGTCATATATCAAACTCGTTTGTAACGCCATTCATCCGGTGTGGGAGTCATTCATCTTATGTTTTAATTGTGTATATACTGTGTCTTATGATGTGTCTTTCTTATGTGGCTGTGTGCGTTGTATTGCTGGACACACACGTCCAGCAATACAACATACGCAGCCACATAAAGACACAGTATTTACACAATTAAAACATAAGAACAAATCCCTTAGCGGAGTCCATACACCTGAGGATGGCAGATTGATGCCAAAACATGTAGTGTGAAGTGACAAGTGAAATTATATTACCATGTTCGCTAGCTTCCTACCGCGGCGGCCCGGGTTCGATCCCGGGTCTGGTCAAGTGGGATTTGTGGTGGACAAAGTGGCACTGGGCCGGGTTTTCTCCAAATACTTCGGTTTCCCCTGCCAATCTTCATTGCACCAAATTATCCATCATAATCACCCAGGGCCGGCTACAATAGGCCAATCAGTGGCCACCGTGCTGAGTGGACCCAGCTGGACTCCACCCCCCCACTAAGTGAATTAAAAAAATGTATATTACCATGTTTGCAAGAGCATGCCACAGAATCCTGTTATGAACTACATTAATCCTGTCCACATTCCCACAGTGTGTTTTATTAAAGTCCATTGAATATTTTCCAAATTGTGCTTAGGTCTCCCAAGTTTTCTGACTAATATATTACATGAATTTGCCATTCTCTGCATGCTACATACCCGGCCTACCTAGATCACCCTAGCATTACTTATTAATGATGTACAATGAACCATTCTTGTGAAACATGCACCTTATTGCAATCCTAGTAGAAGAACAGAATCAGGAATAACAAGACATCATGTGCATAACATTTGTTGTTTTTTACATTCTCAGAATTTTCTCTTGTAGTGTGAGAAATGTTTATGTATTAAATAGTATTAAAGTGTTAGGTAATGTACATATTGATTCTCTTAATTAGGTAGTGGCTGTTTGAAATTTTGTTATTTTTACATCAGATGTTCCTATATATGACTAATTTCTTTTAGTATGATAAGTAACTCTTACTTTGTAATGGCATCAGAGTGGATGGAGCGGAAGTGGGCGAAAACTGAAACATTATGTTTTGTAAATCTCTGAAAAATGTACCATAAGAAACTATTTGTAGACTTCAGTTGTTGCACTTTAGAGATGCATTGACTAGTTAATCGTAGGATTTCTTACTACAAGCTTTGATTGTATAGATTTCTGATGATGAAGATGATACTCATCCCAACATTGACACTCCCTCTTTATTTCGGTGGCGGCACCAAGCTAGACTTGAGCGAATGGAAGAACAAAGAAAGGAAAAAGAAGAAGTTGATAAAGTGAAGTCAAGGTAAGTATCATACCTTTTTGTGAAATAATTTAACCGTTCAGCGTGGTTTGACGTGTATGTTTCATCAGGTATTTAAATCGTCTGGGGGGGTTTGACGTGTATGTTTCGTCCAGCTGCACACCTACGTTATAACGCCCATAATATTTGATGGTTTTGCTGTAGATTGTTAGATTTTTCGCTGGCCTGTTGTCAGGAGAACAACGAGAACGACGACAGGAGTTTAGCTGCGCTAAGTGATCGTTACATATGCCTGTCTTGCAGCAAAGTTCCTGTTGCTCTTGCGAGCGATTTCCTCGTTCAAGCTGTTATGAATGGCGTGTTTTCTTTGCTCTGAAGCTATAAACAGCAGAGACGTGATATGTGCTTGTGTTTATAATATCATATTGCCCTGAGCTGGCCACACTAACACACTCAATTGGAATTCTTAGAAGAGGGATGTCCACATTTTATTCTTGCCAGATCGATTGATTTCGCACAGTACATGGCAGCCAGTTCTTAGAAAAACGCCACAAATTAAGGCAGAACACTGTGGTCACCCCCTGTGACGATGGGTGTGTGTGTGTGTGGGGGGAAAAGAACGCATTCCTTCATGTATTATCGCTCCAGTTGACTCCATTTTATCGTACTGACCTTGGTGGTCGTTTCGAGGGATGACCATAAATATTTTTTTGAGCCAGCTAAGCTCTGCTTTCGTTCACTACATACCAGACAGTTCTTAGAATAACTTCATGAATTCTGTGGTCACCCCTACGACATCTACTGCCGCCAAAATGGATGGAATATCAAAGGCATAGCAACAACCCCTTGTTATGATAACTCGTAACGTTGAATTTACTACAGCTGACCTGGCAACTAAACGGGTCACGGAAAGACATTTCCTTGAACTATACCCCTCACGGGGAAGAAGGCATGGCCGCACAGATGTGTGGGCCAAAGAAAAGATACACAAATTGGAGTGGTGAATGGGGGGCACCGTTGGGTTATACGAATGCTTCAAGGCCTTCCTTACACAGCTCAAATTCTACTAAATCAACTGCTTCCATTGCCGAGATAACGGGCGCTCATATTATAAGGTAAGGTTATAAAAACCATCTTTTAAGATCAAATTAGTGAAAGTTTCATCCTTCAAGGCGTACCATTCACTGCTCAGATACTAAACAACCTGCTTCCATTCCCGAGATACAGGGCGCTCATATTATAAGGTAAGGTTATAAAACCACCTTTTAAGATCATTTTAGTGAAAGTTTCATGTTCCTATCTCATAGAATTTAAGAACAATGATGAATAAATCATTTTCGAGCAAAATTTAAATGGCCGCCTGAATATATTACCGCCGGAGACGCGGCCGCGGAATTTAAATAACCGTGCCAAAGGGTTAAGAGCCAATCATCTCTCTGGCTTCTACCCCTGTTTCATCTCTAAAATCCTCTCTAGTTACTTTCAGTTTTTTTCATTTTTAGTGTGCATTTCTTATTTCTGGAAAAAAGCGTAGGCTTATGAGATCACGTTGCTCTGCATGTGTGTGCCCCTCCCCACTCTCCAAGCAACAATTTGTGAATGCCTGAACCAATCTTTATGTAACTTGGTGGGTATATCATGCCACCTGAGGCCATCTCTGTGGCATACTTCATACTTTATAAATCCATCTCATTGGTAATCCCAACAGTGCAACTTCAAAAATTGTTGAGGTACTAATGTCAACATCACTGATTGCCATCAAACTTGGTATGTATGTCATGCTGCTTGAGGTCATCTCAGTGGCTTACTTCATAAATCCCTTCCATTAGTAATACCAAAACTACAACCTCTCAGATTTTATTGTTTCGTTGACTTATTATGCCTGAAGACTCGGAGTTCTTTCTGCTTGTAGTATCAGATACTTAGATTATGCTGAAAGGATGGTAGACAATTAGTTTTTCACAGAACATGCTGTTTATGTTTGTGATAAGAAATTGTGTTTTCTTAGTATGTGATTTTAAGTAAATAATTTTATCTGCATCATCTTTCACATATGCCTGTACGAGTTATTTATGAGCTACTCTCACCTCTTAGACTTGTTTGTGTGCATGATACAAGATCTTGCATCACAGTGCTTGAAGTTCTGTTATTTACTCCTGTGTCTCTGGTTCTGGTGCGGCTGTAACATGTTTTATAGTACAAGAAGCAATCTTTGTCCATCATTGTTTCATTGCTTTATGTTCGTGAAACTTCCTTTGATGGAAATTTATGTTGGTTAAGTAAGATTGGGGATCTGTTGGGATGTGGAAGTTACGTTTTACTTTTTAATTGTAGCCCCATTGTTCTTGTATGTAACAAATTTATGAAGCCAGAAGAATTAAACCCATCTTTATGATTGCCTAATACAGAATATGTAGTATCATATTTATGCTGTCTTTGTGCCGATGGAACACTGAATGCTATTCACATATTGGGTATGTTGTATTTTGTTTTATAGCCATGAAAAGAAGTTACAGGAAGCAAAACAAAAGTTGTCAGAAGCTGAGAAAGTTGGAGCAGACTTGTCAGAATTAAAAGCAGCTCTGCTGGAACTTCAGCGGGAGGGAGAGAAAATTAAACAAAAGGAGGATGAAATTAAAAAGAAGGAGAAGGTTTGCACATTTTATATTTTTGTGTATTCAGTTGATTTTACACGTGTAACAATCCACTGTATTGGCTAAATATAGTACTCTTAATTATTAGGCTTTTTGTACAAAGAAGAAACGAAGGCCTTAAATGGATACTGGGTCTGTCCATCTTCCTGTGACATGGTTACGAGAGTTTTTTTTTAATTAAGCATAGAAGGGTTTCACTAAAAGTTGTTAGCAAATTCCATTTCACGGCCATATTGGTCCATAATAAACAAGGCCATAAGCAAACATCTTTGTGTGTTTGGAAAGTGAACGTAGTGTCATTTGCTAAGCTGTGCATGTCCGGTGTCTGTGCTGTTTGGTATTATAGGGCCGGTAAAATCATAATAAAAAATAAGCAATTTATAATAGTTCTCAATAGTCAGGTAACAGTAGATCCTATTTTATACCATAAAATATCACCAAATCACACTTCTTACTGCTCTATTTACTCAGGTAATTTCTCTTCCCCCCATCACATCATGTTTCCTCCCACATTTTTAAGAAGTAACTACACTTTTTTTTTTAATACACTGTGTAATATCCCCCCATTAACTTTATTATAATGTGTTCAGTTTTAGTCGGTGATCACATAACTTAAAAAAGTTACAAGGTAAAGGTATCCCTGTAACAGGCCGTGGAGACCCATAGGGTTGTGAGAGGTCAAGGCTCCCACATTTTCTAGACAATCAGCTCACAGATTGCAATAAGGTTGTCAGCCTTGTGTGCTGGCCTCCCTTGACCCCCAGGAAGATTCCTGGTACTCATTTCTGTTAGAGACTATATAAATCTGCATGCTGTGTAGTTTATCTTAGTATAAAACATGTATAATTCAGTGATAGTGATATCCAGTGATTCAAACTTTATAACTGATCATAATATTTGTTGTGATATTATTTAACAGATAACACCATGGAATGTAGATACAATCAGTAAATCAGGCTTCACAAAAACTGTCATCAATACACCACCCCGTAAAGAAGATGAAAACCTTACAGAGGAGCAGCGGGAACAGCGAATGAAAAAATTTGTTAAAGAAAATGAAAAGATCTTAAAAAAATTTGGAATGTTGCGGCGCTTTGATGATAGCAGACGATTCCTCCAAGAAAACCACCATCTGGTTTGTGAAGATACAGCTAATTACCTAGTAATATGGTGCATTAATTTGGAAATGGAGGAGGTACGTTGAATTTCTTCAGCTTTCTTTCGTGTACTCACTAGTACAAAAAATGTAATTGTTCTCAAAGGTGTCTGTAGATATAGATTCTGAGAAGCTGGAAATGTTTACAAAATTTTGGTTTTTCTATGTGAAATGCACATTCATGAGAATGTTTGAGTGTGAAGTTCATCAAATTTGTGGAGTTAAAGGCAAATGTCTACTGTGCCTAAGGACCTCACCATGAAGATATTTAAGGGTTGTATTCTTAAACTCATCAGCGGTTGGAGGCAAGTGGTGATACGTATGTTCTAGCTGCCTCATTACCAGTCTGTGCATATTGGGAATTGAACACTGGCTGTCCAGCTTTAGGCCATGTCTGTATTTACAGAATTACTCAGTTCAAATAGTGATTTTTCTGGCTTGTATTTGTGAGGTGCATGGTTTGAATCTCAGGTGATACTGCAACCATCCTGGCCAAGTTTTTTTTTTTGTATTTCCCCATGTGCCACCGCCACAGGACAAATGCCCAGATAGCACCTCAGTTTGTGACATGACTGCTTCCGCGTCTAGTCCAGTTCATTACGTATTAATCATTTTGCCACTGACGATATGTAATATGAATTGCTGATATAAATGTGACTCTATGGTAGGTATTGACAGTTCTGTCTGCAGTGGTAAGGTGGCAGAAAGGGGAAGCTGAGGAGTTGTCTCCAAGTAGTTCTGGTGCCTAGTTTTTCATGTCTGCCCTGTATGCTTCTGTGGTGTGGACAGACACGTGTTGTTATAGCAAAACTTAATCCCCATGAGCAGTAAATTATTTTCATATTATCTTGTAGTTTATGTAATTAATTGAGAAGGTCGTAAGACAGTCTGCATGGCAGGTACCACAGTTCACTTTGATAGCAAGATGTTCAGAGCCTTGGGCATTGAACTGATTGGTTTTATTTGAACCAGAAAACGTTTATGCTGTTTTATTTATTTCCTGTAACAGTTCATCATGGTTTAGTGCCAAAATTGACTGTGCATAGAGATAAACATGTATACCTGTATACATCTTTATGATGGTGCTTTGATGTAACATCAAAAATAAATGAGCGGGATGCAGTAGCTACTCATCCAGTTTATAAATGTGGTTGACCTATCCGTAACGTGTTTGGAAGTACAGTAGAACTTGGTTATAACGTCATCAAAGGGACCTAAAAATAGTGTCGTTATGAACGAATGTCGTAACCGAAATGGGCACTTCCACAGTAGCCTTATGTTAGTCACGTAAAAATCTACCAAAAACCGAGTTAAAATGTTGCATTTTTTAGTGAAATACGTAGTTAAGTACAGACTAACGTAACATTAACATGGAATTGCCCAAATGTGTAATATCAAAGACATATTACAGCGCTTTTCACTGACAATACACACCGCACTAATACTGTATATTAAAGGTAGGCCTACTCACCAAATTACAGTAGATTACAACAATTGTTGTGCCTTACTGTACCTAGATACGAGTACAGTAATCAGTTATCTTCATCTGTTTCCTGTTACTTGCCCAATACACACTTTCTAAATTACGTTCAATGTCCATATCAGAGAAATTCAGGAATGAAAATGACATTACATACGAGGTTGATGCATTTGTGCATGTCGTACTAAGCAAGGTATAAAAACAGTTGCTTTATGAGGAATTAGTTCGTACCATTGAATATTTGACGCAATAGACAAGGTGTCGCAGAAACCGATGTTGCTATAACCAAGTTTTACTGTATATGTAATTAAGTCACTTATATTTTTTAATGTATTATAAATTTAAGAACAAGAGGAAAGTTTAAAGCCTCATTTGTGGATTCAGCTCAAGTTTGATATTATGTTTCTTCACATAAATATGCAAAATGCTTGAACCTCTGGACTGAACTAGAACAGCTGCAGGTGTGTACTCTCACCAATAAGTATTCAGCAAATTAAATACCAGCTTCAGTAACATGGAATATGCATCTTGTTGAAATTTTAAACATAGGAATTTTATTTCTCATCAGCATAATCGTATTTTGTTTGTTGCTGAAGTCCTGTTTGTTCTGCTCTTGCATTATAGAAACATGACCTTATGGAACATGTAGCCCATCAGTGTATATGTATGCAGTACATACTGGAGTTGTCAAAGCAGCTGGATGTAGATCCTCGTGCTTGTGTTTCTTCGTTTTTCACCAGGTATAGAAAACTGTGTTTGCAGTAAGTTTGAGATAATTTTCTGTTCTGTATTGTAAAATTAAGAGACAAGTGGCTAGTAGTTTCGGCCTTAGAAATACAAATTTGTAAGGACTGATATCCCATTCGTTGACACAGAAAACATGTCCCGACATGCATATGTCCAGTCTGTTGGACCATTACTGTAGGTTACTGTGAGGTTCATCCTTAGAAATGAGCTTTCATATGCATATGATGTTGCAGCATGTGGAAAGCATCATAAAACAATTACATGACATGTTTTAGAGGGATAAAGTAACTAATCTAATCTATGGAGCAGAGTCAGCCTCGAGAAACTGATATTCACACATCTGCTCAAGAGACACCTGTTACCGAATTCAAATGTTCATTACTATTCTCACATGAACCCACCATTTAACTCTATCCTGAGCTAAATGAATGTATTTCTCTCTCATACACCCAGTTTTCTTAAAATCCATATTAATATTATCCTCCCATGTTTCATAGGTCTACCAGGTGATCTCGTCTCTTGAGATTTTTCAACTAAAGCCACTTAAAATTTTCCTAAAAAATTTTTAATTGGATTTGGCATGTTGCCATTTGCAATACATGTTCCCCACATTTCACCATCATTGACCCTAATAGTGTTTGTTGAAGAAGACAGATTATGAAGCTCCTGATATTCAGAGATACAGAATGTTCCAAAACTCAGTGGCATCCAACTTCAAAAGCATGACATTATTGAAATGTCTGTGGCTGTTAGCATTTATTTGTTTACAGGATTCAGGTGGCCGAAGCTGAATATAAGAACTCTTTTGATGATGAGTTGCGTTCATTTAAGGAGCGAATTCGTAAAAGAGCAGCAGAAAAGATTCAAGAAGCAGTACGAGAAGCAGAAGAAGAGGAGAGGAAGGCCCGTCTTGGACCTGGAGGTTTGGATCCAATTGAAGTCTATGAATCATTACCTCAGGTGAGAGATAAATGTGACTCACACTATCTGAATTTAGATTAATGAAAGTAAGAGAACCACTGTAATGAACCGCAGTTTCTTATGGTGACACACTTTTGTATAAAATCCTGTTTAGTGTTCTCAGTTTCTTCCTTCATTTGTCTCTGGACTGATTAGGTTATAGTAACTAGTTTTATAGTGAAATCCACCAGTGTTTCATTGCTCTTTGACTCACTGATAAAAGATTGCAGTGCCACAGTGATAAATAGCAGAAAATCAATTAGTGGTAGTATATACTAAGGTAGTTATAGGAAATAAATAATTTAATTGTTTTGGTGTAGTGCAGTAATTCCCAAGGAGATTATTTTAAAGCAAATGGGAGCATTTCTTTTTTGACCTAGTCTGTGAACTTTCCAGTGGCACCTCGTAGAGGCTGTTATGAATTTGTGATCACATGACAGTAAATGTGTTGGAAATCTCTTATCCGTCAATCCATCGTATTGCCTAGGAAGATTCCCATGCAGGAATTAACCAGAAGATAATGTCCAAAAACACAGTAATTTGGAAAATTGTATTTTGACATTTATTGGGTTTCTCTAAGGGTTTCTTTCATGTAATTGGCAAACTCCATTCCCCATACATGCTGGATGTCAAGTAGTTTTAGGATGATCAACTGAAGTAGGATAACAGGGGTGGAATGTGCAAGATTGGTGGGATAAATAGGAAATTCACACAGAATTTCAAGTTGGAAAACCTGAAGAGAGAAAACCACTAGGTTAGCCTAGGTATAGATGTTGCAGATAGGATAGAGGCTTGTGGTCAGGGTCTTAGAAATAAATTCCTAGGAGATTTTTGGCTGGCTGAGTGACCATCACCTTCCCATAAAGGACTCTGCTGTCATGGAGCTAGTTGGTTAATTAATGTTAATTTTAACTGTAACAATATTTTGTTGTTCCCTGGAGTCGATTCACCCTTTAACAGAAACGAGTACCACAAATATTCCTGGGGATGAAGGACGGCCGTCGTGTAAGGCTGACAACCTCACCACTATCTTTGAGCCCATTGTCTAGGAAATGTGGGAGCCTCAACGTCTCACAACCCTATGGGCCTCCACGGCCTGTTACAGGGATACCTTTTCTTTATTTACAGTATTTTGTTGTTAGGACTGCTGAAGTCAATTGTAATGTCCTTAGTATCATGATAGAGAAGTAGCTACTGATTGACTGAGTTTGTTTATTTAATGGAAATTTTAAAAATGACTGGGTTATATAATATTAATTATTGAAGATTTTGTGAATGATAAACTGGAAATAAAAATAAAGGGAGTAAGCATGGCATTTGTCAAGCTCAAGCGGTTAGTCGCTGGGTTTGATCCCGGGTCTGGTCAAGTGGGATTTGTGGTGGGCAAAGTGGTGCTGGGGTGGGTTTTCTCCAAGTTCTTCGGTTCCCCTGCCAGTCTTCATTCCATCAAATTCTCCATCATGATAATCACCCATGGCAGGTACAATAGGCCAATCAGTGGCCGCCGTGACGAGTGGACCCAGTTGGACTCCACCCCCCACTAAGCAAATTAAAAAGGAACGGTATTTGTCAAGGTACTATGAAATGGGGGTGGGGACTTCCGTGAGGATAGCTTGTCACATGGCCGAGGTTTGAGCCTGATATTTTCCAAATATAAAGCAGGATTACTGACTGCTTACTCTGACACTCAGTGGAATACCAGTTGACATACTGCTTTTGGCAGCATACAGACCATGGTCAAGTACATTACATCTGCCTTAACCCTTTGACGTGGTCATTTAAATTCCGCGGCCGCGGCTCCTGCGGTAATATATTCAGCCGGCCATTTAAATTTTGCTCGAAAATTATTTATTCATCATTGTTCTTAAATTCTATGAGATAGGAACATGAAACTTTCACTAAAATGATCTTAAATGGTGGTTTTATAACCTTACCTTATAATATGGGCGCCCTGTATCTCGGCCATGGAAGCAGGTTGTTTAGTATTTCAGCAGTGAATGGTACGCCTTGAAGGATGAAACTTTCACTAAAATGATCTTAAATGATGGTTTTATAACCTTACCTTATAATATGAGCGCCCTGTATCTCGGTAATGGAGGCAGTTGGTTTAGTAGAAGGAAGGCCTTGAAGCATTCGTATAACCCAACGGTGCCCCACGTTCACCATTCT